TGAAGAAGAGAATAATCTGACTGAGCCTCAGTCAAAATGAGCTTTGAATTTCGAGCATAACGTTGTAAATCTGGAGTTACTACCAGTACTGGCCATCGACAAAGTCTTCCTCATGGTGTAGGAGAGTACGAGCACCGAGAACCTTGAGGAGACCGTGAGGAAGACCCCCCAGCCAACGAAGAAATGAACACCAAAGTTCTGAATGAATCAGTATAATATACACTTTAACGACCTCCCACCGGATCCTTCAGACCTGGGCGAGAAGATGCTCCAACGATACATGTCCAGGAGTCAAGTTACTTCAGTGAAGTTCAAGACAGGTGTACTGCACAGTAGATATTGACTCATCCTACGAGACCCTGCTGGATATCAACATCGAGGACCACGAGAGTTTCTTCCTGGAAGTATTATTCTACATACAGACATCCTCGGAGGTTCTCTCGATAAAACGCCCTAGGAAGCAACAACGGATGGCCGTAAATTCTGCTGGTTCATAAAGAATAAAACAATATAAAACAATAATTCAACGAGCGATAATGACAGAGGTTGATGATAATACTTTTTATGGTAATGCCTGGAGGCGGGTACAGCCGAAGAAGAAGCGACGACGCAAGGAGAGTGAGACCACGAAGAAGACGAAATACAGGAAGACTGGGAGGAAGAATAAACTGAGAAAAAAGTCGAAGAATAAAACAGAATTTATTTTTTAATAACTGTACGCCACAAAATTCGACAAACGGTCGCCTAACTACAGAGAAGAAGACCTATTAACATGATAACTGAAAGCCCCGAAGAAAACAGCGAGAGTGACCCAAAAGTATGTTAAATACTGTATAAAAGACACATCAAAAATGACACAGGATGAATGACGTTCGATCCACTAAAGAAGAATAGAGATGTCGTTAGGATGTGTGATTTTCTGGAGTTTCTTATTTCGTCTGTAAGTTTTAATCCTATCCTTAGGTGCCTCCCCATTGTTGAATTTCGTCCTGGCAAAGATTTTGACTTTTACCATGAATTTCAATGCTGTTAGCCGATGATTGTATCAGCTGTGACTCTCAACGAACCAATCAGGACCAGATGTCCTAAGAGCTCCCCTTATATCAGCAGGGATATTGCGGAGTATCAATGGTGAGATCCAGTGCTTTTTCCACACTTGATCGAAAACCCTCAACTGTAGCCCAACCAACTTAGCAAACCGTCTGTTGGAGAAGTCAGATTTGTTACAGCCAGCGCATCGGTATCGATATTTTCATATTCGCGGAACGCAATGTATAACTCATCTATAGACTGAGCATCCATAGGTGACTTACACATTTCAGTTCAACATCGCCCATAATTTTTGATGCTCTTGAAAGTTACAGATCCTGCGAAAAAGACTATAGCATTCCTTTCATAAAGTGATGTCGCTGCTTGAGGATTAGGAATTGCGCTATCATTTTCACTTTGTTCGAGGTCATCCATGATGTCTACAGCCTCAGAGATTTCCGCCTCATCGCAATTTGGCTCGACATCAATGACTCTGAGATTGCTGTTTGATAATGACTGATCATGAAACGTGGAAAAAAATGCAGGACGGTTTTGTTCCCACTCATGATAATCGAAAGACAGATTCCCATTATTGCCAATACGTACGTCTCCCAGGGAACGAACGTGTCTAGTTAAAGGTCGAACCATTCTGGCCGTTGGATTTTGGCAATTTTCGTTACAAGCTCGCAGAAGACCGAACCAATGTTCTGTCCCATCCTGATTTCCACGTAAAGTGACGACTTTGAAAGCTGAATACTCCAGACCGAAAGCTTTGTAGACTCTGATAAGAGTGTCGCCAGTCAGTTGCAGTCCTTGAAAGCAGGGAGAAAGCAGGACTTTTGAGAAATTCGCCATGTACGACTCCATTCGATTTATTAAATCCATCATGGGCTCCTCGATCTGAGAATTGTCGGATGACAATGGTCTTCTATTTGGATTTTTATCGATTTCACCAACCGAGCTGCATGCATTGACAATATCATTAATTTTGTCCATCGCATTTCCTCATAATTCGATGGCTTGTGCGTAACAACTTCCAAAGATTTGAAAAGCACGTTTGACATTCATTGAGTGAAAGGTATTCGGAAATAAATGAACACCAGTTATCTGGTTCAGAAGATTGGAAATATGCACATTCTTGTCGAATGTGTAAGTCGCCGTGAAGTCAGTCCACGAAACAATATTTTTTCCGTTTTGACAAATCGCGCCCTATTTTCTAAAGGTAGCAACGATCCTTTTAATCAAATGCAGGAAGTCTGAAAAGCAACGAAATACATTTTCGCTCTTATCTTTACCGATGCATCACCACAGTTGACCTGAATCTTGTCATAAAGACGCTGATTAGGCCGGCCTTGATCACACACCCATAATTTTAATTTTACAACTGCCTCCTCCAAGCGTTGAAGACACTCTTGTAAGAGTAAATGCATATCTGGCATAAATCTCGACGTTCCAGCTGATGCCCAATCGTATGAGTATACATTCGCAAGACAATTTTTCCCAATTTGCTTAACAATATTTTTAATTTGTTACGAAGAAAGGTACGTTTGAAAAAAAAGGTTCTGAGGGATCAGAAAATCTGGGCTTCGTCTCCTTGCAATCCCCACACCCCCCCTCCGGCCTCTCCACGGGCATATGTGACAAAAAATAGTATGTATCATTCGTCTCATAGCGTTGGTTTGTAAGTCGTGTGAAGTTTGCAGCACGATGCTCGACAAGTCCACTTATCGGCCTTATGATACAATGTACTATCATGGCCATGGGGCATGAATTCATAGGCCATACCTGGCGATAATAACGATAATTTAGATCGAGCACATTTTGACGGGCAAATCGATCTCTCATCCCATATGCCAGGTCCCGGCAACCCGGGCTCATCAGGTTTACGTGGCTCCCAAGCTACTCTTTTCTTCCGAATTATAGATTTCTTGGCTTTCCGAATTACCGATTTCCATTCTCCACCACTTTGAAATATAAATATCAGTTTTTTATTCGAAAGAGGCAGCAATATTTGGAAAACATTTTTCTTAATGCGTTCAGGATCAGGAATTATCCTTAACAATTATTTTGTGTTCAGACGATATTTGCAGCAATTCAATAAATAAAACAGAACAATCATCCAAAATTGTGAGGTAGAGCCATCATTTTCTAATCGTTGTCGAAAAAATGAATATACCTCTGATAAGAAAAGGGCTGCAAAAGACTTAGCAGTTAAGAATAAGTTCGCTGAGGCTGACTGATTCCACGGACTGTGGAGGGCTATGATCAATACTCGTGCAATTGCCACGTATTTTTTCCGTTTTCATTAATAATGGAAATACGGAAGGCTGAAATTAGGATTGCCCCCAACAAATGACAAGCGTCCCCGAAATTTTCGATGAATGACGAGGCTCAATGGAAAAAGCGGCTTATATGATGCTAAAGCTCATAATGAAACTCTGGCAAATTTTTATTTTTCACATTCAGAGTTGTGATATTTGAAAAGAAAATAATAATTGCCCTAAACTATTTCCGAAATATATTCTCCAAAGTTTTTCATTCCAAGTTTCAATTTTTCAATTTTGTATTTAAAATTTGAAACTGAGCCATTGCACTAATGTGGCCGGTCAGCTATTTTTGTTTGACTCCCGGCCCGTCACCCCCACATACTCTTATCATGCTCACCAGCGCATCATTTAGATCTCGAAAAACTTGGAATAGGAAATTTAAATACAAAATAATGGACACTGAATTATGAATGGAAAATATTTATTGGAACGAATGTAACATAACATTTATATACTTCATTAAGATACACGACAGCGTATCGGCCAAGTTGACCTTATACCGGTCTGACGTCACAGGCCGATGCTATCGCGTATAATATACTGGACACAACCACTCTCCGAATATGTTTGAATTTTTTTCGCGTAACATAAGAATTTTTAGTAAAATCCGTTCTTGGTTGCGTTATATGAGTTGACTGTGAACCTAATGACGATAACTTTACTCTCACGATTAAAATGGTAAATAAAAATATCCTCCCGTGTCAACCATTATAATGCATTGATCTTTATATATATATAGAGATTAGTGCCCAACTCCCTATAATCTCCATAGAAATCTCAACTCAGCGACCGTCTGCCATCGGGTGACTCCCACTTTGCCTCAATTATATCTTTACTTACGGCCGCAAGACAACTCAGTCAGTGCCATAAAAATCAAATCATCATCATCATATCTTTACTCTGGAGGCATGTCGTGATTTTTACTATATGATATGTTTATTTATATACACCAGCGTATCATATTTACACATGCACCCATCATAAAAAGGGAGGTGACTTGAAGAATATTAATTCAACTGTGAAATCTAGGTGTTGTGAGTGGGTATATTATGCAATGACAGTTTTCTTATCTTCACGTTTTATTTCGTTACTAATTTACGAAACCAACCATATCAAATGAAATGTGGAGAAATAGACGTGTGATTGAAATTTTGAAAATTTATCACAATGTGAACAACCCCAAGCATTATAAAAAATCCCCATTGAACTAAAAGAAGCAGTGATTTTCGGTTCAAATAAAAAAAATTGATTTCATCGACGGCTACATGATGTTCATGTGACGGTATCATCAATTTCGTTCGCATCACTGCTCTCCCGCCGATTTTATCACATTCCGAACTATGTTACACCTTATTTAATTTTAATATCCAGATTATCGCAGTTGCCCCTCAGTTCATGTTTATGAAGATCATCATTACATAGCAAGATATAATTACTCACAATAAGTACTTTGGAAATGCAAGGATAATCAGAATTAATAAATGAGAGGTCAGAAATGAAAACGGAAATGTAAGGAAGGCAAAAAAATTCGATGAAAACGATGAAACAAGTTTCCAGTAATAGTGGATATTCACTTAGGATCCCTAACCTTAAAATGTCCAGATTCTCTTGTACATTTCGATTTTATGATCTCTATTTTTACAGTGGCTACTTCTAGTGGTATGCTTGAGGACAATGGAAATTGTCTTCGTGAATATGCGATCGTCGGTTGACGCTGCTACGTACTTCGTGCTACAATAATGGATACAGGAATGAGGGTATTGAGGAACTGAAGGAAACAGAAAGTGTAGTAATTGAGCATGCAGTAAATTCGAAGTGTATATCAATTTTTATTATTTTATTGACGTTGTATTTAAAGCTTCACACAGTCATATTATTATACCTCTCATTAAAACTAATTCTTGAATGGTAAACATAATCTCTTGAAAATGTGTGTTAAATAATTCGATAATAAAATCTTATAAATCTACTATATATGTCATGAATTTCATTGAAGATCCTCAATGAGATTAATTTTTTTCCTCTATTTTATTAGCTGTAATCATTCTGCTAGGTCAGAATATTCGAACGGGAATTTTTTTGGAATTTGAAAGTTATGTTTTTCAGGTGGAATGTTAGCAAATTCATACAGAGATGTCGCATTTATCATTTTTTGCTCTTCATAATTACTCAAATCATTTCAGCATACCAGATCGGGCACAAAATTACACTGTGTCAGTGGAGAATTATAATTCAGAAATTTCCAGTTATTGTTTTTTTTTTGCTGGAGGAAAAAAAGTGAGATTCGTACTATGTCTCCCTACAATTCTATGACTGACATGTCTATTATATTTATTAACTATTTATGACAGTGTTTTGTTTTGTTTTTGACAGCTTTCATGTTTTATGAATATAGTATCTTATCCCCTCTATTTGGTAATTATTTATCGTTAACGCTGACGTTATTTGCATGCGACTGAAAAACCATGCGATACAGAAATAGTTCCCTCTCATTCTAACCTTGAAAACGAAAGGAAATAGTTTCCTCTCATTCTAACCTTGGAAATCAGATCATCCTACATTACATGCTACACATTCATTCATTAAGTTCCACTTAATCTTTTAATTTTCACACACAGAACACGCCGTAAAATACGAGATTTAAAACGTACTTTACGATATTTTTGATCTCGTATATTACGAGTTGCTAAAAGGTTAGAACTTTCAACCTGCTAAATTATGAGTTTTAGACCTTAACATGCGAGTCAATTTTTTTAGGCCACATCAAATTTTTGGACTTCTATACACATTTTTTTTAATTTTACAAAAGAATGTTGAAAATTCCGTAATTCTTTAAAATTTGGGAAACTTCATAGAAAATACGGAAGGTGGCTAATTATTTATTATGTTTTTAGGTAATTTGCTAATTATTTCTTTGAACTTTCAACATTTCTCGACGTTTCAAAATTCGTTTTGGAAAATTTAGAAAAAAAGGAAACTAAAAATCGTTTTCAGAAGCATCAGAATACCTTAAATTTACAGATTTGATGTCGCTCAAAACGTTGTTAAAACAAAATCTCTCCTTGTATTTACGATGTTCATCTGGGCTTTTACCAGATTGAGTTCTCATCAATGACGTAAATAGCGTAAATTATGATGTTAGGCCCCATGTGTTATGACCTAATCATACTTTTGGTGTATTCTGGGGGAACAGTCGCAAGTTCAGAAAATGAATAAATTATCGCACCTGTGACTCCCATGAAAACGGAAGACGTATTAAATAGTAGAAATAATAAGTTTATTAAAAAAAGAACATAAAATGGAATATGGTTATAGACTAAGAAACAAAATATATAACTGACGATTTAGAGAATAATGATCGCCCATGAATTTAGCAGAATGTGACAAAAGAGTAAATACGTAACAGTCTATATTCGAGCTTTTGGGATGGGATTTTCTACTCCTGTAGAATTGTCGTTGAACACGGACGCGGAAATTGCCGAATTACACGTCGAAAAAACTCCATCCAAATAGCTCGGAAATATACTATGTATATTTGCCCGGACAATATTTTTCCGTACGAATTTGTAAGTTCTTGAGTGCGGAAAGTATACCAATTTCCCAATGAGAAATCCTGAACAGCAGTACGAAATAATCAACGCTTTCAAGTCACGGATCATCATTGTTAATATTCAGATTGGCTTACAGATTAATACTAATGAATTAGAAAATGAGATCAGTTATTTCGCTTTCTCATTAATGTGAAGTTGGTAGTTAGTAATCATATTCAGTCAAAGTTGATTTTACGGTTGGTTGGTCGATCCTGTTTTCAGTTACATGATTTAGAATTCGTGCTGAATATATCCTCAAGGTGCATAACACCGAACTTTTTTTTATAGTGCGACTTCTGTTTTAGAATGATATATTTAACTATATCTGACAATAATTTATCGTATTGACCGACCGGAAAAAATCTTCTGAAAATACATGAATGCTGGGAGATAAACTTATAATTCAATTATAACATGTCGCGTAAGCATCCATATTCTTTATGTACCTTCACAATATACCATGTATCAGGCCTCTAGTATGGGAGTCTCCTCTTCAGCCTTCAATTATTTATATTTTGCTTATTTTTTTGTATGTTGAGGTCTGAAGATTACATTTTACAATCTGACCAGCTTTGCAATTCCTAAGAAATTCTGATTACTCTGAATCTCACAAACGAAGTCGAAAAGTCCTGAAAATATAATTAAGAGAATAATAGTTGTGAATTTAAGGCTAGTACGATTTTGAACAAGCAATCAAAAAAATGTTCATTCTCAAAGAGAAATAGAAGGATATAAGTGAATTTCACCCTGAAAAGTCGCTGCTCTTCTCAATTATGTGTTCAAATTCTGCGAAGCTGAGGGCACCATCATCATCGAGATCAGCTTCTTCTAGAAGGCACTGTAGCAGACGCTGCATATCAGTCTCACTCAGTCTTTGAGGTGCAGTTAAACGATCGATAACTTGGCGAAGATCATCAACACCCAGCATATCATCACCATCGAAATCTAATGAAAACATTCAATGTCATATGATTGAAAATATTCCATCACGTTGAAAGTTTCATTTGGTTGACATAAGTAAGTGAATAAATAAATGGGGTTGTGTTAGATGCTTCAAACTCAGTTGACCTTTTAAAATCCGTCATAATACCTATGTAGTACGACAGCCTAATAACCGACGCATACTTTGCTGTATCTAGCTTAGGACTAACGGTATAGGGTATCAATTCATTTTCCGGAGATGAAGAATTCTTCCATGATCGGGGCGCAAACTTGCCCTACATATTTATGTATTCGTGTGGAATACTTGAAAAATGGAGGGGCCTTTCACGCCATTCGCATTATATCCTGCCTACAACATCATGCTGCTGCAAGTCTAATATGGATTTATTTAAACATTAATATTGATATATGAATTTCGCTGATTCACTCAAGGTCAGCGCCTTGTTATATGCATTAGCAGATTAACTGGTCTGAGCGCAGATGAGCGACTAGTGGGATACTAGAAATATGATCCCCCCCCCCCCCCCCTTCATTTTTCGCGTTTGGCGTGAGTGAATAACATCCAATATAATCCTCTATAATTTGAATTGAATAACGGCAGGAGAGCAACGGAGTGTCACTGGTCGTGTTTTCCGCAGTCATGGTTGGTAGTGGGGTGAGATGTAGCAGAGTAAGATTGACGAGGGTGGAATTAGTTTAGTAATGTCGAAACACCTGGACAGCAAAAAGAAATTGCAACTGTAACTTACTTAGAATTTAAAATTAAAATTCCACTGATCATCTCCAAAATTTAGTAATAATACAGCCTTAACTCAGAACTGTGGAATTATGATAGTACAGGATTGTTCGGTTGCTCAGTGTGTGGATCGTGGGAAGAGGGGTCGATTTGAATTCCACTGACCATTCCCAACATTTATCAATAATACAACCTCAACTCAGAACTGTGGAATTATGAGGATACAGGATTGCTTAGTGTGTGGATCGTGGACGAGAATGTTAAATACTGAGGCCGAAATAAGATCAAGAAATCGAACTAAAATCGGGAAGATTATACTGAAGGGGATTCGAATATATGAAATTAAATTTTACCGGAAAATGCATGTTTCACTTGTGATGTGACATTTTCTAATCGACCGAAAATGCTCAGCACCTTCGCCCTTCCTCCCTCTGGCCTCCTCGCCGATGCAAAAACTTAACTAAGTTGGGACCTAAAAAGGTTGCCGGGCGCCAGCTAATTTTTCTGATCGAGAATCAGCAACTCGAAAACCTAAACCTAAATTAAAACCGCAAAACGTATCACTAACCCGTACTTACATCTAATTCAGCAAGGGGGTTGAGGGAGAGGTAACGGATGCCTGCGCTGCTAAGTATGCTAGGTTGTGGAGAGAGGGGTGGATTCGGGGAAAAGGGCGAAACTGGTCAAATAAATAATTCCTCAAGAATTTCACGGTTGACCAAGGCCAACGGTATTGCTGTCACGCGCCATGGCGCGAATAATTCCAAAAAAAAGACGAAAAGTAGAAGAAAAATAGAAAAAGTAACCCGAGCTAAGTCCGCGAGGCACTGGAGGGTGCTCGGGATTCCTCTGAAAATTCAGGACCGGGTAAATTTAATTTATTACAAATCCCCCCCCCCCCCCCCAAGGAAAACCTTCCCATACTTCCACGAGCCCTCAGGAGAGGCTCGGGGTTTCCCCAATAATTCAGGGCCCCCTGAGAGGGCTAATTATAATCGTTACCCGTGGAGGAATTATAAATTCTAACTCCACGTAATGCCACGGGCCCTCGGGAGAGGCCCGAGATTAATCCCAGCAACAAAAAGGAATAAAGTCGCCGAATATGAATTTTTAATATCACCGAGGAAATCCTCGAAGAGCCTGTAAGGGGCGATACGGGAGAGCGAGAGAGATGGAAGCTAGGGTGCGAGAGAGATCGCGCTACACCCAACGTACACGGTACGTGTATAAAAGAAATTTTTCCGGTAATTAATTCCCGACGCCTCAACGCCTCCACCGATCGGCATCGGACAAACTCCACCAGTGAGGGGGAATATTCGCGAACATCCTCCCAAATTTGGAGAGTTCCACCATGTAAGGGGATCGCCATATCTCCGTTTTAGGGAAACGGGATTTCCTCAGCACCGTTGGGCCGGAATTCACGCGCAACGTTGAGCGGAGCGGAGTGGGGGAAACACTCGCAACCGCGACGGCATGTGCACCTCTCAAGGTTAGAGAAACAAATTTCTCGCGTTCCACGGGGTCTTCGGCGGCTTCCCTGGGATTTTCACGTCCTTTTTCGCGCGATATCACCTTAAAACCTCCACAGGGACGGCCCTGTGGGATGAGAAATTCTCCACACGCGATCAGCCATTGTTTTCGGATAAACCAGGGCTGAGAAAACACTCGCGGACACCTCAACGAAGGGAAACGCTGTTCGATCCGTTAATCGAACAGGATCGATTTAAACTCGCGAACCGAATTAATTATGCGTTCTCCAGTAACCGGTGTTACTGGGATAAATGTAAAGAAATTTCCTCACCTTTCCACGCGGTTTCCGGGTGGCTTTCCGGATAGCTGCCAAAAAGATGGCGGGACTCATGCCTCACCGGGACATTAGTTCCGGTGGATTGAGCGCGATGGCACTAATTGTCCTGACGCGCTAAGATCTCCCCATTCAAATTTGAATGGGGGAACTAATTCTAATTAATTTTTCCTAATACCCTAATTATCGCGGCTAGTCTTTCCCGGTTGTTTTCCCCGGGGATCCGTGGACTTACTAACCTTAACTAAACTTATCTAATACGGCAATTCGGGGAGGTGTCGGTCGTAACACCCCCACCGACCTTCCAACACTAACTCGTAATATAAAATTCCTCACGGATCCCTCTTTTAGGGGTGCTGGCACTCGCAGCCAAACGGTCCATCCCGGGGAGATTTCGCGAACGGAATAACCCCTAAATCTACGTCGGACGATAATACTAATTATCCCTCTTCGCGGCGCAATCCAGGACCGACACGATTTCCCACTAATTAACTGATCCTATAACCCTTATCTAATACTAAACGTCCCCTAACGAAATCCTAATCTCCTGCTGATTCAGCAGGGAATACCTCCTTGCTATTTTTCCCACCGTAAATTCCCCTGATTCCCTAATCTCCGGCTACTTCCGGAATTAGCAGGGAAGACTCTAAATTTCTAACCGCCTCAGCGTAGTCTCCGGGCTGTCCGGGAAAATCGCGAGACCGTAATTTTATTTTATTTCAGTAGTGGTTATTTATTTTAATTTTTCTGCATGGTGTGGGATTCGCGGGTTGGGCGCGGCTCTCTCTCTAAAAAAAAAACGATGCACGTCACACACTATTGGCCAGAAAGTTCGATATAAAGGTAATAACAATTGATTAATACATCATCAATTACAATTAATTAATTAATTGTTACTACTCATTAGTACAAGTAGCTGAACTGACTTAATTTGGAATCTCAAAAACTTAATTCCAGTCCAGGATCCATGGCGAAAGATAAGAAACTCACCGAGACTTTCCCTAAGATGTTTGAGAGAGATAGCATTGGGCTCGAGCAAGAGAGAGCCTGAATTAGCAACCCTTACCTCGTTCGTACCCTAACCCTTAACTTGTGACGTCCTGCAGTTGATAGGCACTAGATGGAACTATTATTACGGGAATAATAATATAATAATAATGCTCCTATTATTTTTAAATCAACCCAAAGTTGGAATATGCAACAAATAAGTGGACAATGAACAACGAGCAATGGAAGAAAAACAACTCCACAAGTGCAAGAAGAGGAAACTGTTGCCCAAAACGATAAATCACAACCTCTCAAGTGGAACTTTCAAAATTTTATTACCGTTGAATTTCGCACAGTTTTTACACCGTGAAGTTTTCTGTATTAGTTTTCTTAAAGTCTCCGACATAATTACAAGGGTCAAGATAAATTAAAATTACCGAATAAAGTATATTACGTGCTCTTCTAATGGTGGTGTTCGAATTGAATATATATTTATATAATGGTGCTTTCGGGGACCTTTTTTGGACGTTCTTTCTTTGGTATAGATTAGTTCTCACTATGTTTATAAATCTATGTACGAATTACTATTCACTATATATACCTTCCTTCTCAAAAACAAACTCACTGGGACTTTCGAGGGCCGTCCTCAAAAATGCCATCGCATACATATTCTCATATATAAATAGTCTACGCTATGGTATTTTCGAAGACCACTCCAAATTTCTAAGTCACACATCGAGTGTCAGCACAGTTACTTATGGCGAGTACTTGAACTATGCCGAGCAAGATAAAAATTAATGCATGCAACACAAACCGTTTCCCAGTATGTAAAATCCGTCAGTTTTGGTAGTTTTTCCCTATTATGAGGAAATATGATGAATGAATCATGTATTAGATATACCCGGAAGGCCGTGATTCAACAATGCATTCGAAAGTACCTGTACGTATCAGATTTTGTACATGTTGTGGTGCGTGTGAGGACCTCACTCTTGAATGCATAAAGATTTTCGAGGACATCGAAATTTAGTTGAGAATCTTCATTGACGATTAAAGGTTAGAATATTCCGTGCTAATGTTCGACAGACGGCATTTTGTGGAATCAATTGAAATAATGAGATAGTGAAACTCATTGAATTGATGTTCTTCCATTTCATAATTTTTGTGGTGTGCGTAACTATTTTTATAAAATTGTCCATGAATTATGTCAGTAAAGAAATTCCAATAAGGATCGCCAAATACTTCTGGAAAGTTCAGTATAAATACCATAAAATTGTTGAACAAATTCATTAAATTTTTATCTATTCTGCTCACAAAGCGCAAAAAGTCTTCAATTAGTTATTGAATTGGTCGTTGTATTTTGAAAATTCATATTAGAAAATTCTAAACGCCAACCACCCATGAGGAATCACCGTCACTTTGGAGGAGAGGATTCATTCAACTCAATGGATGATGTATCTGATTGAACTGGCAGGAGAGATCCTCAAAAGCACCTATCCTTTTAAAAACAGCGACGGCAAAAGTACCATGGCAAACATAGACTTTCACATATGTGAAGGTACGCTTGAGGACATCGTTGAAATTAGTTTTTTTCCACTTTCCATAATTTTGTTCTTTTGTGTGAAAGAATGGCTAGGATGAACAGCATAGGATGATGTATTTTACTAGTTATACTGACGTCAACTACATGAAAATGCCACAGTTCGCTTCTAAAAAGCCGCATATCAGAAAACAATCCATGGGAATGTGTGAGCAATTCCTTCAACAAGCGAAATACAGTGTCCTTGAACTATCTCCAAATTTCAAATCACTCTTATGGGAATTCACAGTAGAAAATTTTCAATGAAATGGTCATTAGAACTCAAATTTCTTATACTGAGGAGTTTGAAAATTAAAGCCAACGGATAACACTAGAAAACATGTTGATCGCAAGAGTCGAGTCAAAATATTGAGCCCTATTGAGTTCTATATTGTAACGAGATTTTTCTCGTTACTAGAGAAGACCCTAGGAAAGTCACTAGGCGAAATGAACGACATCTAACGCCAGCTGAAATAGCCGAGCGGAAGATGAGTGGAAACATCGGACGACGGTCAATCAGGCCGCTCCGAATGTGAATTAGACCAATCACATAGTGGGAAGAAACGTGGTAGGGTGCTGGCGATAGCTGTTTCCCAGTTCGGAAATCCACCCAGCTGTGTTAGGGAGGCCAGGGCCGACGTACAGGCGTTCCAGCTGGGTGGTTACGAAGGGCGCCGTCGATTTAGACCAGGGACGAACGGCTAAGTGAAAGGACTAGCGCCACCGGGATCCCGTCGAGTTGATTGGTGGATGTGGGGTAACCACTGATCTCTATATAACTGGATAGACTATCCCTATGCCCCCACTACACTGACACTGAGGCAGTACTGTACGACAAGCAGCGCCTCAGAATAGTAGTTCGAGTACTACCGTGCCCTTGACTGCGCATGCGCATCACCCAATGGAGGGTGATCTCGGATAAATATGCTTCTCCCCTTCCACTGACAACTGCGCTGAGCATGCGCACTTGATAGAACTTTAGTTCCCGGACTACTATTCGGAGGCGCTGATTGACTTTCGAATCGGCCTCACCAGGGGTATACATGATAGTCTATCCAGTTATATAGAGATCAGTGGGGGTAACGGATAACCCACAGTCGCTGATATGCTCAGACTAGGGGGAGAAGGCCCTGGGAGATTTCAGAGCAGTTAGCGTTGAGTGCTGGTCTCGAGCGGATGTTTTAGAAGCTCGGGATCAGTCGGTGGCAATAATCCCTGGTGGGATTATGAGGGGTACGTGGTTCCAAGGAATCTTGGAATAGCGAGAGAAGGGGACGCTTATGAGTCCCCGATCAGTGAAATGGATTACTTTGAGGCTACGGACGAGAGTCACATTCCTCCACGAGAGTTGTTGTTTGGCTCAAGTTAGTGATTGAAGTTACTCGCACGTTGGTGAACCCCACTCTACCGTGTCATGCTGACTCGGCATTCTGAGACCCGCCACCGAAAGTCCGCGGAGTTGACGACATTCCTTCGCGGCTGGTTTTCCGTCAGGTTTTCCAGAAAAACGTGGCTGGCGCCCAATCGTGAACCACAGATGCGGCAGCCAGAATAGTTCGAGGAGTATCCCGGGGTGTTGACCCGCAAAAATCCTCTTACACCATGTATTATTACCAGAACGAAATTTCAACAGAAATGGAATGGTTCAACAAAGACGTTAATTATTTTATTATCTCACCTCGGAGTTATGGTGACCGTCTGCGAAACTGTCAGTCGACATATATATGAGTGATAGTTTTGAGGACAGCCTTCCAAACTACCATTAGATACATATGTACGAGTGGTCCTGTTCATCCCCGTCCTCGAAAATACCTCTTCATTAGAAATTTAGTCTTCAAAACTGCCACAGTATCAATGTAATCTCATATTTAGAGGTACTTTTGAGGACGCCGTTGACTTTCGTTTCTTTTTCACTTATAATTTGCATCTATATCAAATCAAACTGTAAGAACTAATAGATTTTATATTCCAAATTATTCAATTGCGTTTGTCATTCTATTTCCTTTGTCTTGGTCCACGAAAACTGCAAAATTACAAACACGAGAAATTTTTCGAAAAAAGATATGTAGGGGAAACTCAATGTTAGCATCAAATTGTTTCATTTGAAATTACATTTCCCTGACAAATTGCGTGTCACCGCATTGTCGCATTTGTAATGTCATTCCTTAAACCGTACTCGAACTACCATTAGAATTATATACGGGGTGTCCGAGATAAAATTGTACACCCAAATAACTATTGAATGTGGGTAGTAATCGAAAAATCTTTCAAATAGAAGTTGTAAGGCTCCAAGTGGGAAAAATAATGAGATATGTTTTGAGCATTGAAGTCTTCATGTTTTTATGCTACAAGCATAAGTTCATTTTCTTCATATGGGATCAAAAATTTTCTTGTAACAAAAGTTGTTGTACTCGATGAGATGAATCTAATGATGTCACACATATTGTGTTTTTTATGCTTTCTGAGCTCAAAAATACTAAAAATGGAACTTGTCAACGATATTCCAAATTCAGACACGATAAACAGAAAAATAAAGGAGAAACAAAAAGGCGCCAATGGATTGTTCTACTAGAAAGACATTACAACAAGTGCTCAATGTTCCCACCATTCACTTCAAGACACAATTCAAGTCGACGTCGGAAACTCTGCATAACATTTCGAAGCGCTTGTTGAGGAATGTTGGCAATAGCGCCTCTGATACGTGTTTTCATGTCTTCTGCAGTCGTTGGTCGATTTTTGTAGACTACATCTTTAATGTAGCCCCATGAATAAAAATCAAGTGGAGTTAGATTAGGTGATCGCGGAGGCCAAAGAACAGGACCACCTCTGCCGATCCAACGACGAGGAAACAAAACATTGAGATAATTCCTTACACAAAGTGCAAAATGTCTTGTGTCAAAGTGTACATGTTCCAATAAAACTGGGAGGTCATCTTGTAAAAACTGTAAATAGCGTTGACCGGTGACTGTTCCTTTGAAAAAATACGGCCCAATCACTTGCCCATCAACAATGCCACACTACACATTTACACTCAACTGATGCTGGTGGTCAATGTGCTGAGTCCAGTGAGGATTTTCCATAGACCAATAATGGGAATTATGACGGTTTAATGCGCCAGTACTTTTAAACGTCGCTTCATCACTGAAAAGGACATTTTGGAAAAACACGGAACTTTCGTTCAAGATCTCTATGGCCCAGTGTCAAAAAGCAACACGATTCTGTCTATCTTGTGCAGACAGTGCTTGTGTCAATCTGATATGATCAGATCAGTGCATCACATTAAATGTTACACGATTATGATGAATTGGATGCATTAGAAAATCCATTTTCCCGCTACTATGTGATTAATGATGTGATAACGAAATAAAGACAGATATCTGGCCTCCAATAATCTATGCGCATAAAGCCGCATCTCATCTCATATAAATTGATATCTTAGAATTTTCTGTTGACATTGATTTAAAAAAAAACAAAAAAACAATTAAAAATTCGCAGGGAAATTGTCGGTTATGTTGAATCAGTGGAGCCACTCACTCCGGTTGAAACGTTCCAAAAATGGATCTATAAGATCATCCTTAATAACACTAAGGGGACTAAAGTGCGTATCGTGTTTTGGAAGGAGAAATCAGTGGAGTGGAGTTGAAAATTAACCCTTCATGAGGTATGTGGTACGTGTTACTGCGGAATATGAGGAAGGGTGAAGCATTGCGGACACTTGGGGGTAGAATCGACACGTCAGAAAGGTCAAGAAAATTTTTGTGGGGTTATTAAATTTTGAAAGTGTGTTATTATTGTACCACCCTTTCCTACTTTAGATTTTGAAATGGCAGTGTCTCCACACACGATGTATGGTTGAATACCATAGACGTATGGCTTTTTTATCTTGAGCCTTATGTAATACAATACAACTGTTATTATCGCTGATAATATCTGATAATATATGATATTATCTTGGGGCATTATCGCTCCTAAGGAGCTGCATTTGCAAGATTCTAGTTCACTAAAGGTGTTGGAGAAATTTGACTTCGCAAATGTGATTTCAAAAGAGTTGCAATATAAAGAGACTACGCTTGAGCAATGTGTGCTATACGGCAAAGAACTGATTGGTAAA